TATAATTTATATCAGGTTAATTTTTTTATATTAAAATTAAATTTTATTGTATAATCAAGAAAATTTTTAAATAATATTTTTTGAATAATAAATTATACATTAAAATAACAAATAACTACAATTAATATATAAAATTCTGCAAGATAATTTACAACTCCATCTGTGTCTTAACTCTTATATTAAAGCGTAATCAAAATTTACTGACTTTACTTATTCTCAATGCAAAATTTAATTATATATAAAAATAATACTCTTTTAATCTTAAATTAAATAAAAAATATATATATTTAATAAATTAATACAAAAATAAATTGCAGTTTAATTTGCATTTGTATCCTAATTACTACCTTAACTAGAAGAAAAAGGAGAAGAAGACAACGCTCACTCTACTCCGCGGACTCGGCTCGAACGAAGCAACTCAAAACGAGGGAATTCCCGTCACGACCAGGTATCGGAATAGCCATCGAAGCTCTTCCTCATTGAAAATTTTCTATCGAACGCAGAAAACTGTGTACTGAATTTTGCTTTTATGTCGTTTCTAGAGACGATTTTCCCGAGTGACGATCTATAGCAACGAGATGTCTGTGGTAGAAGAAGCACCGCCACTGAATGAATTTGGAGAAGAGGAAGAAGACGGCGAGCTCTCCTGGTCTTCAGACTCTGAAATCGGCGAAGCCTTGGACTGGTTGGATTCCAAGGATGAAGAGGAGGTTGTTGATGGGTCCTTTACGCTCAACGCTAGGCGACCTAATGCCCATGGAGGACTCCACTCGCGACCTACTTCGTCCACGCTTCAACCTCTTTCTAATAGGAACCAGAAGTTCACTAGTCACATTCGTGCTTCGCCCTTAGAGGTGTAATTCCTCACTGTTCTTTTCCTCTGCAATATTACTTACTTCAATGGAAGTAAATACTCACCATGAAAGGGAAAGACAGATGCTTGATGCACAGGCTGCTCTGCGTAATTGTTTAGTGTTTGTATAACGAATGAATTTTGGCTTAGTTATGGCGAAAATTTTGTTGCTTAATACCTTGCGCATGGTAGAGAGAAGTTTTTTCTTTTTCCTTCTCTGCTTTTCTTTTCGTTTGGGTTTTGGGGGTGGAGGGGGTTATCTTCATATTTAGCAGAAGAACACAGGGGGTCACAAGTGAGGAAGACAAAAAATTTGTGATAATATTCAAACAGGAAGTTGTTTTTCTTATGCAAAATTTCATGCCAATTTTGGTTTGTGTTTGAGTATTATTATGAGATGGAAGTACCGGGAATGTTCTGTTCTTTTTTTGAGTTTCCTTCGGGTAATACTAATAAGGGTTGATTCAACGTTGGCACCTCTGCCATTGGCTGTTTTTATAAGGTTGTTGCATTATGATAGTTGTGTAATGATGGTGCAGGAGTGGGAGGGAAGGATGAATGTTGGCATGTCAAATTCTGTTACAACTGCAATTCGTGAGAGTGTACGAGAAATGGCTATTGGTAAAACTAAAACCACGGAGAAAGCTGACCGTGCAACTGTTGAGCAGGTAAACCAAAATTTTCTTGCAACTTTTGTGTGCCTTTCTTAAGGAAAAGTTTCTGAATATATGTCTAGTGATTTATGTAAGTTTACACACAAATCTATATATATGTATATATATATATATTCTGTTTAGGTAAATAAGTTTTGCTTCAATATAGCAGTTACTTCATACTTTTACTCATCTTCAGCATTTGTTCCTTCTCATTTGATGTCTTTGTTATCTTGTAGACTGATCTTGTTGCGAATTTGTTATGTTCTTCTGCAGGCTATTGATCCTAGAACTCGCATGGTACTATTCAAAATGCTCAATCGGGGAGTATTTCATGATATCAATGGCTGCATATCAACAGGAAAAGAAGTATGTTACTACTGCTTCTTAAAATTGTTAATTTAGTGATATTTTTATTTCTTCCGAGTAGATTGATAGGGCATTCTAATGTTATGATGATGATGTTGAATCAATTGCTTGCCAACTCTTACACGTGTTTGGCCTTCTTTTGCTTTCAGGCAAATGTATATCATGCTACAAAATCTGATGGCCAAGAACTAGCAATAAAAGTTTATAAAACATCTGTCCTGGTTTTCAAGTAAGTTATAGACTTTGAACTGTTTGTATCAGTTACTCTTCCTTGTAATCCATTAAGGGTGGCATTAAGCTTATTTTGTGAAGTAGATGCAAACAAGCAGATGTAAGCATCTACTATTCTAATCTATTATCTTCCTCTTCTTTTAATGTTATCGTGAATTTACCTGTGATGATAATATTATGGAAGGATGTAGATTTTCCATGAAGAAAAAGAAAAGAAATAATTATACGGGAGAACTCTATTTGCCATATAACTGCTTGAGTATTATTACTGTTTGATACTTTCATGGTTTATCCTTTCATCACTTTTTTGTGGTATTTTATTCTCTTCAACAAACTTGAATTGCAATGAGACTAATGTAGCTTATAACTTGTTTCTTAACAAATTTAGGGATCGTGATCGATATGTACAAGGTGATTACCGCTTCAGACACGGATACTGTCGGCACAATCCCCGGAAAATGGTGAAGACTTGGGCTGAGAAGGAAATGAGGAATCTTATGAGGTTAGGTTACACCATCTTTATTCAAAAACTTTTTTGGTTCCTTTTTAATGAAAGCAAGAAAAATGAATGAGAAGAAACGAAGATTTGGCCGTAACATTCTCGAATTATCAAGAATGCATATTCCCTGCTGCACATATGAGGAAGCATAGACCTTCTTGTTATTTATCATGGATTGTCATTAGAAATACACTGCAAGGGAAAAGAATTTGAGTTTGTAACTGTACCTCGTTGCCAGTTTTGGAATTGTGGGAATACATGAATGTTTGGTGCAGCAACTGATGTACTTTTTTTGATGGCAGGCTTAGAGCAGCAGGAATTAGGTGCCCAATGCCCCTACTCTTGAGGCTTCATGTTCTGGTGATGGAATTCATAGGTACTTTATATTCTTAAATTTATTCTGCTTTGTTGTTATATCATAGTTCTCAGTACTTTTTGCTGCCCCTTTTCTGTTATTCTTATCCTATTCCCATTCCATAAGCAGAATTTTAACCAGCATTCTCGTAAAAGGTTAGCATCAAAGAACTTACAAATAAATCAAGATTGTAAATTCTATTTTATTCGGGCAGCAATAAATCAGATTTTTGTTTCGTGATAAGAACTAGAATATCATTAACAAGGCCTCAAGGAGTTGCCACCCATGTACAAAGTGTAGCGCTTTACAGGTTTATCAAAATGTCAATAATCTGCTAAAAAATTCAATAAGGTCTCTAAATCAATGTTCATGATATATTAAGATAAAAAATTGAATGTTATTAACAAGGCGCCAAACAGGTGTCATCCTTGTACAAAATTAACACTTTACCGGTCAATAAAAATGTTAATAAGGTCTCTAAATCAATATATATAATATGTTGAGATAAAAAGTTGAGTTTAACTAGACACAAAAATGGGTGCCTCTTGTACAAACTGTAGCGCTTTACAGATTTATCATAATGTCAATAGATTTCCTAAATTCTCATTAAAATGAGA